CCCATGACTGGCAGCTGCCGGCTTCAACCTGGGGCCAGGTGAAGGATGCGCGGCCCCGGTCGAGTCCGACGCGGTTCCGGGACGGGGCTGTGCAGCGCCGTTCCCAGGCAGCTGATGCGTCTCGAGACCCGGCTCCTCTCTGCTTCCTTCCTGCCCTGGACAAATCCGGCTGCAAGAGGACTTCGCTGTCCGCGAGGCGCGCTGTCTTCCGCGGCGCCTCGCCAGACCGGTACTCAGGGCAGCCCATGGCGCAGCGCACGTGGGCAGGGACCCTCACCCTGCCTGCAGCGCTTGGAGGCCAGGGATCCCCAGCCCCAGCCCCGGGGCCCAGCAGTGCCGAATCCTGAGGTGCACTCCACAGTAAAAGCTGTTGTTCAATTAACCAAAGTTACCTAATCAGGTCGTTTTCCTCATGCTATTTACTGAGACACTAAATTCCTATAATTTCATGCTGTCCCTGCTTTCTGCGCGCAGCAGATTGCAGCACCGATGGCACGTAACCGCGGGCAGCTGTCGCTGCGGGACGCTGGATGTTTCAGGCGGAGGCTTCTGGCAGCAGGGGGTGGGCGTCGAGGGGCGCCTCCACCTCGCCCCGACAGGCAGGAAAGCCACGCTCTGCGACTTGAGTTCAAACTGAGCTCCTGTCCGGTGACCCTGGACCGCAGGCAGCTGCCCCGCAGCACCCGGCAGAGATGGGCGGCACTTGAACAGGACTTCTCTCCTCCAGGCATCCAAGCGCTGGAACGGCCGCACCATTCAACACGCCGGGCAGCTGGAGCGGGGGCCGCCTTGCCACCTGCAGACGCGGGCGCAGGGCGGCCCAGGAAGGTTGTGCGCCCAGGGCCCCTTTGCAGCTGCGTGCTCTCGTTCTTGCAAGGGGACCTCAGTCCCCAGAGCACGGTGCTGACGAGAGACACGACAAGTCCTGTGGCAAGTGGCAGCGCCCCGGGGAGCGGCCTCCCTGCCAAGCAGCAGAAGCGGGGGCATCGCTGCCATTCCCAGAGCCGACATTCAGGATTGTAGCGAGGCCAGAAGTGCGAGGGAGGGACTTGCACCAGGGCACAGGTCCGAATGGAGCACTTGGGCAGTCAGCTGCCCCAGGCTTGTTGGAAGGGGGGGGTACACCCACGCTTCCCCTTGCTGAGAACCAAGCACAGCTGCCTACACGGGCGGGCAAACGGCCCTTTGCACACGCAAGATGGGCTCCCGGCGCGGCTGCAGCTGCCAGCACACGACACGGGGGCACCCACCCTCCGAGGACGAGCTGCAGCCGCAGCTCCTGAGGCGAGTGGAAGTGAAGTGGCAGCAGCAGGTACAAACGCATCGCGTGTAGAGAGCTCTCGCCTCCCCCGGGCCCTGCCCTCGCTCAGCGGCTTGAGAGTAATTAAATTGCGTCCAAACACAATGCTCTGATTAAAGCCGGTCTCCAGCAGGAAGATTTATCATCTCAATTACCAGCATTGGACACAGCAGTCAAGGCCTCATCATTTCACATGAGCAAAGAGGAAAACAGGAAGAGAATCGCTAATATTAGCCCAAGGAAGGTAAACAGCTTGCGTGAGAGATGGAGCTTTACTTCTGCAAAGGCTGGGGCTGGTCCCAGGTCAGGTTTGCTGAACAAGCCCGAGTCTCCTGCTGGATGCACAATTACCAGGGCCAAACCGTGTGCCCAGCGCCAGGCAGCAGTACCGCTCGCCCTGGAACCGGGCGCGGGGAGCGCACGGACCCCGAGAGCCACAGCCCCGGCTGCTCGCTCCAGGGACCACAGCACCAAGACTGGGCAGCAGCCAGGTCCGAGCCAAACCTGCCTCCAGCTGCTGGCATCCAGAGCAGACGAGGGCCCAGGAGCCAACGCACAACAGCGAGCGCCACACCAGCTCCTGCTTCGGGAACCGTTGTGGGGCCCGGGAGGCACAAAACCCCTGAACTGCACGTCCCACAAGCACTTGATGACAACCTCTGCCCCAGAAGCATCCGCTCTAACGCTCATTATTTTAGGAAACCGGCTCCGCGCCAAGCAGGATCGCCTGGGCTGGAAGACGGGAGGGAAGTCTGGATGGAGGATGGGGCTGGGTCCTGGACAAGGACCTGGGGGCTGCACACCACGGTTACATCTGGTTTAAGTAGTACCAGAGGACTGACCCTGCGCCACGCTAGGGTTAGGGTTACCCACATCTCCCGTGCTCACCCAGCTGCCACAGCCTGTCACCACCAGCCTCCAGCCTGTCATCCGCTCCGAGGCCCCGCGCTGAAACTCCTTCTGTCACTTTGAAGGCCTTACCTTTACAACTGCCCTTTCCACCAGAGAATTCAGACATAAATTGTACTTTAAATTCAATATCAGTCATTAATATTTCATGATTACAAAACGTTAAGGATAATGTCACTGGAAGGAATGTCTGGACAGTTAAAATGCATGAGTCAGAACTGGGTGATGGGGAGAAGTCGGCATACTAAAGAATCTCCCCAGCTCCCGGAGTAATCGGATCTGACAGCCTCCCTGCTGGAGGGGAACTGCAGCATTCGCTGCCTTGTTCCCAAATCGGAGCTGCCGTGTATAAATATTTTCCTTCTGATTCTTGTCACCTCGTGTTTGCTGCAAGAGACGCGTCGCTCGGCGTCGCCAGCGCCCCCTCCACCGTGGCCAGCCCTCGCCGCCGTGCTCTTGCGGAGGGAACAGCCTGTACCAGCACGGGCAGCCAAGCAGCCTGGACACGCAGCCCTGCTGCGCTGCCAAGGCCTGCCCGGACCCATCAAGTGTCAGTCGGCGCTCACGACAGCGCGCGGCATGACAGCTTCCCCACGAACACGCTGCCCGCGCCAGCCGGTGCGGCAAAGAGCCGCTGCCCTCAATGCCAAGCCCCCAGGTCACGAGGGCCCTAGGCCTCGGGGCAGCGCCAGCATGTACCCCCCGCCTTTGCAAACCCCCTCGCCACCTCTCACAGGGGATCGGCGCCCAGGCGCCAGGTGAGGGGCCCAAGTGGCGGGCAGGTGGGAGCGGCTGGGCCGAGTCTGCTGGGGTGCGGGAGGCCGATCCGCTCTGCCCCGTTCGAGGGGCGGGTGAGCAGCGAGGCGGTGGCCCCATTCCCCACTGCTTGGCAAAGCCGCGATCCCCTCAGCGCCAGCGGAAAGAGACCGTGGAGGAAAGCCAAAGGGTCAGGTCCATTGTCTTACTGGGAAAAACCTGCTGGGCTGCACATAATGAGCCCAGGGCCTGCGCATACGTTATGGGGAGAAGCGGGCTTCGAGGGTAATCTCTCCGGCCCCCTACCCGGCAGCCGAATGCCCGTGGTTAATCAAAGCCTTTTCTTTTTTGGCGCTATTATTATTTATTTTCTTTTCATTCCCCAGGAGCAGCTGATTCAAAGCCTCCGTGAGCAGCAGGACGAAGGGTTTGTTCTTTTCTTTTTCCAAGCGAAGTAGAAAGGATGAGCACAACTTGTGGGGGGCGATTCTGCCCAAGCCCGGCTTCGGCAGCTGACCCAGCGCTGCGACGGGCACGCGCGCCCAGGGCTCCTCGCAGATGAGTGGTCCCGAACCCAGCCAGCACGTCCCCTTACCCATGGGGAAGGCGAAGAGACGGGACCGGCGCACACCGCACGTGAAGCCCGGAAGGGCGCGCGAGCCCGTCGGGACCGGAGGGGCCGGGCGGAGGCTTTGCAGCCGGGGCTCCCGAGCAGACATTTCACGAGACAGCGAGCGAGGCTGCCGAGGCAGGTGCTCCCTGCAGCACGTCCTGGCTGCCCCAGCGCAGCCTGCCCTCGGCGCCCGGGCCCGAGCACCAGGCCGACCTGGCGCAGCGGCTCCGCTCCCTGCCTCGCGGCCCAGCCAGCTCTGCCCTTCCCACATCTCAGTATCTTTCCGTCCACGCTCCCTCTCCAGAGTGGCGTCTGGCTCTCTCTCCAGCTCATCTGTATTCACCCACGAGGCAAGTGCTCCTTCTCTACCTGCCACCGTGCTGAATATTTATTCACCAACAAAAAGCGCCTTCCTCTTAGTGGAACGGAGTGTGCCAGCCCTCTCGGGGAGCGGCAGCAGAGGAGCATCAAGAGGTGCGCTCAGAAATCCTCTCTGCCGCCTGCCAGCTCTTCCCCGCGCTGCCTGCAGTCCTCCCAGGCCCCGGCGAGGGAGCCGACGGGCTCATCAAGCACAGGTGCTCGTGTGACGGCTGGGGCACTTGTTCCCTCGCTGGGTTTTTGGAGCGCAGAGGAGCAGGCTGGGCACCCCGGGGGAGGCTTGAGGCAGGTGCCAGGAGCACCACAGCAGAAGAGATGCCACCACCTTGCAAAGGCTCAAGGCAGCAAATCCAGGGGCATCTCCAGACCTCCCAGGGGCCCTTCAGGGTCACCCTTCCTCCAGCCGCCCACCCCGCAGGCAGCCCCCCACAGCCCGAGGCCGGCCCACCTGGGCAGCACGCAGGGGTGAGGGGAGCCGTCTTCAGCCAAGGCCCCGCCACTGCCCACGGCCAGCGCCTGGCACAGGAAGCCCCCAGATCCCGACCCAGCGGAGGAACGCCTGGGCCCAGCCTGTCTCCAGCTGCCGCTCGGGCCCGGCGGTGCCACTCGCCACTCGAGACAAGCGCTGCCCGGCGCCTGCGTCCCCGCCACCCACGTGGTGAATCCAGCGGCAGGACGGATGCAAAAGGAGAAGGAAGCGCACGATGTAAACACGGGCTCCCGGGAGCCTCAGAGGCATCTCATCAGGTGCGAACGCAGCAAACGAGCAGCGCAGGGATGGCTGGTGGCACGGCTGCGCAGCCAACACGGGTTTTGATTAGTGTTCATCAAAGGCACCGCCCGACCACGGCTCCCTCATTAATGCATGAGTCAGGAGGAGTATTTTTAGGCTGTCTGGGGAGATGTCAGACTCCGGCTTCTCGCAGCCCCCACCGCAGCCAGCTCTCCCCCGCCCAGTCACTTCTACGTCCACGGGCAGTTGTCCCCACCCCAGCTGCAAGGCTGCCCACTGCCCGCCCCACGCCATGCCACGCCACGCCTCACCTGCTTCCATGGCCAGCACCGTGATGTTGTGCCAGCCGGCCGTCTCGCGGTCCAGCACCTTGCCAGTCATGATGGCACCGGTGTTGGCATCGATGTCAAAGATCCTCTCCAGGTCACTGCTGCGGTCGATGGCATACCTGGACACGGCGAGAGAGGGGTGTGAACGGCGGCTGGGCACTGGCCTGGCTTCTGCCCATACTCCTGTGTGGAGGGGTTTCCAGAGACCATCCTCCACCAGGACCGACAGAGCCCATCGCAGCGCCCAGCCCCACGGGCAGTGAACAGTGCTGAAGCCCTTCCCCAGCCAGGCACCCCACCCTGGCAGTCACCCCAGTCGGGGCTCCGGCAGGGCAGGAGCACTGCATGCACAAGGCAGAGAGACAACACGAGCGCAGCGTGTTCACAGATCAGAAGCGTGCTGGGCTCGCCTGGTGCCAGGCCCAGCAACGCCGAGGGCTGGAGCAGGGAGCTCCATGGAGCGACAGGCTGGAAAGCCAGCGCGAGGAGATGGGCAGACCGGCAGGGCATCGTCCCCCGGGCCCTCACCCCTGCCTGCGGGAGGAGGCAGACGCTGCCTGTCCTGCACCCCACACACCATCGATGGCATCAGCTCTGGCACCGAGGGGCTGCAAGCTCCTGGGGGCAGGGAGCGTGTCAGCAGCACGGTGCCAGGGCCCCACGCAACACCCCCAACTCAGCGTTTGGGACCGGGAACACGGACAGCCGACAAGTCAAACAATGTGATGTGATTTCATTGTGCTCGGCATCGCCCGCATGCACGGCATCGCAAAGCGCTCAGCAGAATTAAATAATAGGAGACAGCACAGAGAACAAGGGATAAATTACCAGGAGGAAAGGCGCGAATAAATTACAGCGTTCAGTCACCAGGCCGATAACGGGGGGGCAGGGGGAGGCAGAGCGGAGCTGGGGCTGGGAGAAGAGGGAGGCACCCAGAGCCGAGGAGGCAGGGCGAAGCCAGGACGCTGCAAAGGGCCAGGGCGAGGGGCCTCGGGCGCAAGCGCTCTGCAGGCACCACCTGGAGCGGGTCGGGCACGGCTCGCGGGCGGCACTCGCGCATCATCTCTAGCTGCAGGTTGCTGGCTCCCTTTGAACTGGCGCTAGCCCGGGGCTCCCACCACCCTGGTGACGAGGTGCCGGCCCAGGCAGGCAAGAGAGAGAAGGGCAGACCCCTCACGACCCAGCCCGTCCCGTGCTGGCACATACACCCGTGCAAGCGTGCGCTTGGCCAGGCAGCTCCTGTCGGCACCGACTGGCCTCCACCGGGGCCCGAGCCTTGCCAGGGTCTGCCTCCGTGCCCTGCCCCAGGCCCCGGTGGACGCTGCAGCCCAGGACGGCGCTTCGCTCGCCATATGGCTGCCTGCGCCTCTGGTAGCCGCCCGCCTGCTTGCTTTGTCCTCTGGTCTTTGCGGCACAAACAGAAATCTTCTTCCATCAGAATAATTGGGGAGGAAAAGCCAATTGCTGCAGAGAGAGGGGCCCCTGGGCCGGGCAGCATCTGGCATCTGCAGCCTCCGCACGCGCAGGGGCCAGGGCCGGCGTGGGGGAGTGCAGCATTGCGCCCTCCCCGACCTCTCCTCACAGGCCTAATTGTTTTGCTGCTGGGTTTATTTTCAATTGTGTCCAGCTCGGCCTTTCAGGATTGACAGTCCTTCTGCGGCGTGGCAGCGAGCGCAGGGCCTGGGCCGCTACCTTCCCTGCGAGCCGGTGTCCTCTGCCCGATTCGAGCGGGGAGGCAGGAGCACGGGCTGAGCTCGCCTCCTGCGCCCGGGCCCCGAGCCTCCCCCGAGATCCCGGCGACTCTGCTCCGCTCTCTAGTCTCTCTCCGCGCTGGACACCGGTGCCCACTCCTCACACTTGGGGGGGGTCAAACCCCACATCAGCGCTGGGAACGTGATGGACCCATATGCTCACTCTGGCAAATGAAAGCCTCCCTTCCTGGCCCCTGCTTTTGGGCTGAGGGGAGCAGCCGGGCCCTTCCGCCATCTCTCATTCCTCCCTGCACTGGAAAGAGCCAGTGAGACCCCCGTCCTGGGCCAGCGCGAGGCAGGAGGGATGGAGATGCAGCACAGACATGGGAATACGGGACGCACATCAGGCACCAGACACGGATGCAGCCACCATGTGGGCCACTGGCAGGCGGATGCCGGGGCGGTCGCACAGACAAGCAGTGGCTCCAGGCAGGGGCCCATGCCCCTGGCACACTGGGGACACCGTGGGGGTCATGGGAGGGCGGCTGGGACTCTGGCTGTGGGGCTGGAAGCCGATGGGGCTGGAAGTTTTCTCTTCATTTGATCCCAGCACTCGTTCCTGCCCAGAGCAGGGGGTCACACTGGATGATCTGTTCAGGTCCCTTCCGACCCTAGAAACCATGAAACTTCCCCCAACGCCACAGGTGCGCAGGGGGCTGCAAGGCGAGCTGCCCACGCTGCACCTACATGAGCGCAGTGCCACCAGTCCCCAGAAAAGGGTCGGCCGCGAGCACCTCAGGCCTGGGGTGCGAGCGAGCAGGAGCTGCCGATGATGCCAAGCAGACGCAGCTTTTTGGGGGACATTGGCCTCTCCAATGGGCCCTCAATCGCATTGCCCAGCGCTGAGCCCTGGCATGGGGAGGCCGTGCCAGCGGCTGCGCAGGGCCCTGGCGGGTCCGCCTGCTCCTCCTCCGGCCGAGGCCGGCGTGGCGCTCGGACGGGGATGCCGCGTGCCGCAGGCTCCGGCCCTGATTGGAATGCGGCCCTCGTCGGCCCGTCTCCGCTCTCCCTGCCACCATCGCCTGTTGTTTAGATGTTACAAGTGGCTGTTTAATTTAGCCAGCTTCTTGGTGCTCCTCATCCTCCCGAATGCCTCTCGAGCAGCCCGTTTCCTTTCTTCCCCAAGCGCAAGGAGGAACACGTTTGCTACCACGTGTGCTGGGTTTCGTTAATGGGAAGCTTTTCAAGCAGAGTGTGAAAAGCTTTTTGTTGCGTTTGTTTTTTCTCCTCTCCCTTTTGTGCGGAAGCAGGTTGTAGTGCTCACTGTGTTGTTGGAGTCTATAAAATGCCCGTGTCCAACACATGTCTCTGGATTTGGTGAATGCCAAACAAAAATATCTGTGAGAACCTTAAATCCCAAGTAGCATCTTCCCCGTGCTGATAAAGCCTGGAGCGCGCACAATCAGAGCACAGGCTCCCGCTGCCGAGAGGAAAACAAAAAGCTCCCATACCCACAGGCACACGTACACAGTTTATCAACGTATTACCCATACAATGGCGCGGCTGAGAGCAATCGCATCTGCGCGGGGAACGCGGCGCGGGAGCCAAAAGCCAACTGGAACAGAACGTTCCTTTCAAAGGTGTCCCAGCCCCAGCTTTGTCAGCGCCTGAATGAGGGACAGGACAAAGAAAAGTGCTTTCTCGTCAGATAAAGGTTTCCTGCTCGTGTCCCCGCGGCCCTTCATGCCCCCGTGGGCACGTCCAGGAGAGCTTTGTGCCCATTAACCCCAGCTCTGGTGCAGCGCCCGTGCTGCAGCCGGCAGCATCCAGCCGAGGCCCAGAGAGGCCCGAGCAGCTGCCGTCGCCGCAGAGGCCAGCGCCTGGCAGGGCCGGGCCGGACGGGGACATGCCCCTCTGCTGCGGCAGATGCCCCCGTGGCACTGGCTGTCCAGCACCGGTGCGGAGCCTGCTGCTGCATGGTGGCCCACGGGCGCTCAACATGGCCCCTGCTGCCACCAGCGCTTCCCGGAGGCCTGAGGCATGAGCTAGCTCGAGCAAGCGGCTCTGGGGCTTCCCTCTGTTCCTTTCCACGCGCCAGGATCTCTGCAGGGCGGCACGGTTCCCAGGCACAGATGGGCGCAAAGGAAACTGCCTGCGCACCTCCGCGTGGCCCACCACTCCCAGAACACGCGTCACACCAGGGCCCGAGCAGCCTTTTGCAGGCACCTGTGTGCACGGGGCCTGGCTGTAGCCACCCTGCCCTGCCCCGGAGCACACCGGATCAAGTCCCGGGCTCGAGCCAAATGGAGGTGACGACACCCCGAGATGCTCCCTCGCACCCTGGAGCTCCCCGGGCTGGGAACAGGCTGCAAGGGGAGCCCACGGGACAGGCCGTGGAGGGGGCCACGGGCACCTATGATGGCTCTTCCTGCCCGTTTGGCTAAAAATACCCCTAAGCCTTGTTAGAGGCAGCCCAGTCAGCAGGAGTTGGAAATGCTGATGAGGCCAGAGGCACCCGGGGCCGCCTCGAGGGGAGAGCGAGCCGCCCCTCCCAGCGCCCGGCTGCGGCAAGGAGAGGGGCGATGGCTGCGTCTGCACTGCTCCCGCATGCGGCCCTTGCAGACGCCGCCAAGGAAGAGACAGCCTCTTTCCTTCTCCTCCCTAGCAACAAAGGACCAGAGCTGAAGGGAATCTGCCAAGCGGTGGCAACTTGAGAGGGTTCGGTGCGGACTTCAAGGGGCCAGATCAAACCCCAGCAGGGCTGTCAGGAGGGGCTGCACTTGCCAGCAGCGCCCGCGAGAACAAAAGCTGGCTCCGCGGCCCCACCTGGGAGCAGAGCGCTTGGACGGCAAAGAGGCATGGGGCTGCCTCCCGCAGACAGACGTGGGTCACGTCCCGCCCGGGCACTGGCAGGACTTGCGAGCTGGTGCTGGCGCCGTGCGAGCGCCGGGGCTGCCCCACGCTGCACAGGGAGAGCAGGAGCAGCACCGGGACCCCATGCAGGCAGCTCGTGGGGCCAGCACCGCAATGGGAAGAGCAAGCTGGCCTCGAGCCCCAGGCTCGCCCCCGAGGCGGCTCAGGGGACGGGGACGCGGCATGCTCTGTGGCGAGAGGCGCTGCAGACAGCTGAGCGGGCGCACAGACGGACGGAGCCGCCAGGGAGCCCCGCCGGGCTCCTGAGGAGCTGTCGGCCTGGGGGCAGCTGCAGGGATGATTCCTGCCTGAGCACGCCATGGGACCCCGCTGTGAGTCTCCCTTGCTTTGCCCTCCGCCCCCAGCACCAGCCCCTGCCCGAAGCGGCACAGCCCAAGTCCCACAGGCCTGCGCCGCAGAGCGCGCTGCTCTCCCCGCAGCCCCGCGGCCTTTCAGGGTGGCTTCCCAACGCCAAGGACGTGCTCAGCGCAGCAGCTTTTCGTCCACGCTGCTCACAACTCAGGCCCGTTGGCAGAGCCACAGGGCCACTTCTGTGCCCCGAGTAATAAGAGCCTGGAAGCCCGGGAAGGGTCTGTGCAAACATGCCGCTGCCTGAACAAGGCCCCTGCCCACACGCTGGCGACTTTGGCTCCGGATCCCCCTGCCGCGCTCAGCATCTCGCTCTGGCTCAGGCCCCACGCCACCAACACATGCGGCCACCAGCAACGTCGTTCTTCCTCGTGGCCTGTCTGTCATTTCAAGTCACCTGTTGAAGCTGGCTCAGGCCCGCGGCTGCTGCCTGCCCGTCAGTCCCAAGTCTGAGCCAGCATCACCCCGATGCCCCCCTGCCGCTCACGCAGCCGTCATCTGCCAGTGACACTCCTGTCATTCACGCAGCCACAGTTGCCCCTGGCCAGGCCCTGACCACTACTCCTGTCGCTCACCTGCCAGCTGCCCACCCTGCATTGCCCACGTGCCGCCCGTGTTCCCCACGCCTGTCCCAATCACAGTGCAGGGACAGAGCCGGGAGGGGCGAGCTGCTCACCGAACAGGGCTGTTGGCGGTGTCGGGGTCCAGCGCAGTGACGACGCCCACCACGGAGCCAACGCGGGCGTCCTCCTGCACCTCCATCAGGCCGGAGGGCGGCCGGAACTCAGGGGGCTCGTCCACGTCCAGCACGGACACGCGCACGATGGTCTGGTCCCGGAAGGTGCCCAGGTCCACGAACCGTGGGTCCACGAACTTGTTGAGGGCCTCCACCACCACCGTGTGCACCCGCTTCGACTCGTAGTCCAGCGGCTGTGGTGCAACAGGCTGGTGTCAGCGGCACTGTCCCTGAGCCCACGCTCCTGCCCTGCCCCCTACAAACCCCCCGCAGGGCAGGCAGCGTGGTGGGACCCCCGGCAGCCCGTGCTCCTGCGCTGCTGGGAAGGCGCAGCCGTCGGGAGCTGCCCTGGGGGAAGGACACCCCCTGCCTCCCACCCTGCCCACTCCCACTGTGCGATGCAGACATCAGCATGCACAGGGCGGGCGCGAGCAGTTCCCGGCGGCACGGGGATCATTAATCACCTGGTGATTATTGCTACGGGAAAGGTGACTGGAAGGCAGCAGCCTTGGCAAGCCACTGCTCGCTCCCGCCTGCATCACGGGTCTGTGCAAAGCCCATGTGCTGGGCATGGTCCTCCAGTACCAGGGCTCAGCTCTCCACCGTGGGACAGCCCAGCCCATCCCTCCCTGGCCCCTGCTGACCTTCTGCACGAGGACCACGGCCTCCTGGGTGTTGCTGTCGGTGGTGACCCTAAATAGCTCCACACCCTCCTCGTCCTTGATCTGGTACATCATGTCGGTGTTCTCCCCCACGTCGGCATCCTCCGCCTTGACCCTCCCAACTGCCGTGCCCGTGGGCGCCGTCTCTGCCACACTGAACTGGTACATCTCTGCAACAGGGGAGGAGAGGGGCGGGGAGTCATGGCACCACCTGGGCTGGCCCCGAACACTCCCGACCAAGCGCTGATGGGACCTGTTTGGGACAGACAGGGCTGGGCATGGGGGGCATGAGCGGGGGTATTGTACCCATCTCTAGCTGGGGTCCCACCGGCTCCTGGGTCCCAGGGGGGTTGCCAGGGGCTAGGCCAGATGGTGCATCTCCCTGCCATGCTCACTGCAGCACTCCATCCCCTGGACTTGGCAGCGCCCCCTTGAACCCAGCACCCGGGCAGGCTGGGCCTGGCTGCAGCAGCCTAGGGTGCCTCACTCAGCCCCGGGGTTGCCAGTCTCAGCAATGTCCCATCCCCAGACCACCCTGCCAGGGGCCGTGGCTGCCCCTGCTGCAAGGACACAGACCCTGGGGGCCCAGCCTGCACTTCCCGGGGGCAGATGTGCCAGGGCCTGAAATGAGGCGCAGGGTAGCTCTTACTCTGTGGGAACCGTGGGGGGTTGTCGTTGACGTCCGTGATGACAATGGTCACGGTGGTGGATCCCGACAGGCCGCCCAGCTGCCCCGCCATGTCCGTGGCGCGGATCACCACCTCGTACCGGTCCTGCGTCTCGCGGTCCAGGTCAGCCACCGCCGTGCGGATCACGCCTGCAGGGGCAGAGGGCAGCACTGAGCCCTGCGGCTCGCTGGGTGCTCAGGTGAGCTGTGGGGGGGAAATGCAGGAGGCCTTCCCAAGGTCTGAAGCATTTCATGGTGAAAATGCTGCTCCGCCACCCCCCGCCAGGAGCCAGGAGGGGGATGGGCAGAAACGCCGTCTCTGGTGACATTTCCAGCGTGGCAGACACAGGGGACACGGCTCGGAGATGCCAAACCCTCCCCACTTCCCCTGCAGGTAGCAATTATCGCAGTGATTATCTCAGGGAGGATTTATGGTGATGTACCCCTGCCTGCCTGGGGCTGCAGCTCCCTGGCTCTCGTGGGCAGGAAGCCCCCCCATCCCCCCAGCCTGCCTGACATTCAGCTCTGCAATTACCGGGGCTCTCCAAGAGCAGCTTCCCTGCCTCCACGGGAAGGAGCCGCCTCGCTGGCCTGACCTCCAGCGGGCTCCGCTGCTCCTGCTCCTGCCCCGCCGGTGCCCTCCCTCACAGGAGTCGCACCCACCGCAGCGGCTCGCCGGCACCGAGGCAAGCCACAAGCAGGATACCCGAGAGCTCCCCTGGGCCGGACAGGGCGCTGCTTCGGTCCTATGACCTCTGGCCCAGGAACGCAGCAGGGCTGGGTCCCAGCCAGCACGGCCTGGCCCCCCGCGCCTGCCATCCGCAGGGGACTGGCTCCTACCCGGGCATCCCAGGAGCAGGCAGGGGCTGGCGCCAGCCCTGCCCCTCTCCCCTTCCAAGGCTGCGTCTGGGAACGGCACCGTCTCCTGGAAGTTTAAGCGATTCTGCTAATTAAAGGGGTCTGAAGCATTTCATGATGAAAATGATCCTTGTCAGCCTGGCAGCGACGGATGGGGAGGAGGGGAGACGCTGCGCAGGTGCTCGGCGTGGCCAGAGCGGCATTGCTGCTATTTATAGACCTCGCTGCGCCCCCGGGAGCTCCACTCTGGCCTGGGCCCTGGGCACAGCCGGCTCCCCCTGCACCAGGATGCCAGGCGCTGTCCCACGACGGCAAACCCCAGCTCCACGGGCTCCCAGCCTGCGCCCGCCTGCCCAAGAAGCCCAGCAGCAGGTGCCAGGGCAGCACCGAGGCTCCTTCGTGAACAACCAGGTGCAGAAGGTGCCTCGTGGAAGGACGCCAGGCCCCGCCGCGGCCGGAGCGGGGCTCTGCAGACAGCCCACCTGCCGGGGAATGCACCCGCAGACGAGCCAACTCCTCATGTGGCCACGGATGCAGCAGAGCAAGGGACCGACCACCCGCCATGACCTACCCGCAGCACCACCTGTCCGGACCCAGCGACTCACCCCCTCCACCTGGGCAGCCACCCTGTGTTTTCCTGGCCCCGTGGACATGGCCCTCCGCAGAGTACCACAAACCCAGCTCACCTCCCAGCCCCGCCAGCATCTGTTATGGGTGAATAATGCAGATGCAGGACGACGCTCTCCGGCGCTGGAGCCAACAGCTTCCAGCGTGAGGCAGGTGAATCGCAGAGCAGTCGCCAGGCGAGGGGACAGCCGCCATCAGCTCCGCGCCACGGAGCCACTCGCGGGCGAGATGGACGCGCCTCCCAAGAGGGCGAGCACCGTGGGCTACTCAGTTCTACGTGGGGGCAGCTGCAAGGCTGACAGATCCCAGCCCCCAGGCAGGCCACGAAGATGTGGGGCCAGCACCGTGATGGGGCACGTGGCCGCAGCACGAGCAGCTGGGCCAGTCCCAGGTGCAGAGCCCTGTCCCCGCCGCACACAGCGACTGGGGCACAGCCGCTTGCTTGCACTGACCCTGGCCCCCAGGCCGCCTGCCCAGGGGGACCAGCGCACGGCCCTGGAGGCAGGGGCAGCTGCAGGGAGGGGAGGGGAGGGCGCCCTGCGTCTGCCCCTCCCTAGCCCCACAACACACAGCAGCGCTGGATCCCAAATCCTTCCTGCCATTAAACGTTCATTTCCACTTGGCAGAGTAAACGCATCCCCAGTGCTGGGCTTCACTAAAGGGCCAGTGCCTTGGAGAGGGGCCGGGAATCTCCCACCCACACCGAGAAACCTCTGCAAGGGGCATGTCAACGTGGGTCCCTGGCGCCTGTCCCTGCCCCACTCAGCAGCACGATCCCAAGATGGCCCAGGCATCTGGCACCCCTGGGAGGAGCAGGGTCACACGTGTCAGGGCACACCTGTGAGCACTGCTGCACACACCTCGTGCTCAGCGCCGCTGACCAGGGGCCAGGCAGGAGCAGGCCCCTTTGGCTCCGGGGAAGAAGCAGATTTTTCCCCCCAGCTCTGAGGCTGCACCCGGCGGCCCCATGCCCCAGCCCAGGCTTCCCTTGCTGCCAACGCATTGGTGGCCAGGGTCTCGGCCAAGGCCGGGTCTCTGCACCGAGAGGGGAGGCTCCTGGGACTGGTCTGCTCAGACCAGCACAGCTGGACAGAGCCTGGGCCCAGCCCCTGTGGCAAGGACAGGCGCCTTCCCAGCGCTGGAGGGAGCTGCCCTGTGCACAGGGATGCTGAGCCGTCCTTGCAGACAGAGGCAGCAGAGCGAAGAGCTCACTGCATATCTGCCAGGCCACAGGGCTGGCACCAGCTGCAACTGCCGCCAGACAGCTCCACCATGCAGTGCTGCCCAGGCGCTCAGGACACCTCCCTCGCAGCCCGTGCAGAGCCACGCTAGCCGGTCGCGCACCTTCCCAGACAGCCTGACTACGTCCCCACGAGCAACTGCTCTGGCGAGCCGCGTCCTGCACCCTAGGCAGGCTGTGGTTGTGCGCTACCAGCTCTGCCCTTCTCCGCTGCTACCTCCAGCACAGCCAGGCAGCTGGCAGCAGCTGTGCAGCCCACAGCTGGTGGGAGGGGAGGAGGAGGAACGGGAGAGCCACACGCAGTCTCCACGCCTGGACCTACCAGGCAGGCCAGGGCCAGTGCTCTGGCCCCACAGACACTGCCCATGGGCACGTCCAGAGCCAACACAGCCCCACTGCGCCTGCGTGAGCCACGGGCAGGAGGCCCTGGGCATGTGCAGGCACACGCTGGGGGCTGGAGCACACACAACACAGGCTGGCGGAGGCGGCTCTTGGAAGACGCCACAGGGCTGCTGTTCTTCTGGAGGCAAGGAGAGCTTGTAAACATCAATTACGCTCTTTCTTCACATCCTCCAAGCCCACAGATGCCGGCACGGCTCAGCTGCAGCACAAGCGCTTTGTTGTGCTCCGCGCGCCCCGCATTCCAATGCGCGCGGCAGAGACGGGCTGAGCGATGCGGCACGCCCCATGGGGACGCAGGCGTGCACGCGCCCCCCGCCGCCACCCGCCACGCTCCCTGCCAGCACAGGCAGCCTGCACCCCGCGGCTGGCAGAGGGGCTGCCCACCTCGCTCAAGGCAGGACCCGTGTGCTAGGTGCTGCTGTGCACGCAGCAAAACCCCGGCCCCTCCCAGATCCTTCCAGCAGCCAGAGGAGCTGGCTGCCCAGCCAGTGCACCAGCCATGTCCTGCCTCTCTCCGTGCCCCCACATTGCTCTCATGCTGGTATGGAGAGAGGGAGCCAGACACAGGAGAGGGAGGCAGGGCAGGGGCTGGCACCTGGGCTGGGAAGATGCGTGCACAGAGCGTGCCGCACAGCTGCCCGCATGGGGGCGGGAGGGAGCCCAGTGGAGGCTGATCACAGCCAGAGGGAAGGTGCGTTGTTCTTCATCCCATGTTATCAGCAACAGCATGTGCCAGGCTTTTATGGATCTTTTTATGACCATTAATAACAGCAGTGGCTCTGCGCATTACGCTGCAGCTACGGGCAATTAAACCTTGCGCTCAGGGTAGATGCAGGGCCTCTGCAGGGGTCAGGGTGGGCTCCCGGCCGCAGCACTGCACAGGGAGGCGCTTGCCCTCCTCCGCAGCCCACGGCCGTGGCCACAGCTGGAGAACAGCTCCGGGGCAGGGGGACGTGGCTCCAATGTAGCGCCGCCGACCCCACGTCCCCCACCACAGACGTATCCTGCGCAGGCTGCGACTCCATCTCTGGGGACGGGGGATGCCCGTGGTGCTCTGCGACTATGCTGGCAGCCGAAGTGGGATCACAGCTGGGCACACGACACGGCACGGCACGGCACATCTCCACAGTCCTGGAGCCAGCAGCTCGCCGAGGGCCATCAGCAGCCTTCGGCCACTAGCCCGTGTGCCTGAAGTGCCAGCTCAGAGCAGCCCCTCTGGAGAGGGCACCTGTTCTTCCAGCAGCATCAGTGCCTGGAGAAGAGCCAGCCCAACCTCTTTGCAGCGCAGCATCGAGCAGGAGGGTTTCAGGGCCACGCAGTCAAATCCCAGGAGCTTGGAGTCCCAGAGCAGCTCCACGGTGGGCCCTGGCCAGGAGCACCCTCCCGGGATGCAAGGCAGGAGCCAGAGCGCCGGTGTGCCCCGAGCTCCAGGGCTCTGCGCTCTCCATCCTACGCTCGCGTCTCCAGGGGCCCAATCCTGGGCCTCTGCTCAAGGCTGTACCCAGCCCTTACTCAGGCCAAGCCCCCCCAGCACCCATGCGAGTCCCACCTGCATGCAGGAGGGGCAAGGAGCTGCCTCTGGACAGCAGCCCCCCTCCCAGCCCCACCAGGGAGGGGTGAAAAGCACTCGTACGCGGTGCTGACAGCGCAGGAAGGGCACCGGAGCCGGCTGGGACAGGAGCCGGGGAGGCAGCTGTGCCTCCTCCTGCTGCAGGACAGCCTCCCCCACGGCCTCCATCCACAGAAGAGAAGGGCCACTGCGCCCGTCTGGCCTCACTCGTGCCCATCCACCACTGGCAGCTCCCACGAGCTGCTTGGGGGGCACCAGGTGCGCCCCCCCAGCCCCAGGTTTCAGAAGCTACGTGCCTTGGCACAAGCACGTGCACACACGCATGCATGCACACCCTAGCTCTTACAACTGTGTGCACACGACAGGCAGCCTGCTCTCATTGCTCAGCAACAGCAGAACAGCTCTGGTTCAAACCTGCACAAGCTGCCTCCCCGGGGCCCAGAGCCGCACGGAGAAATGTCAGCCTGACAGGAGGTGACTGCACAATCGACTCGCGGGAACCAGTCATCCCAGCCCGCGCCACAGCATCCGCGTGGCACGGCCCCATCCAGGGCCCCAGCCCCTTGCCGCAGGACCCGCTGGGGAGGGGAGCCGGGCGTGCCGGGCCCAGCCGCGTGCTGCCAGGACACAGTGCTCCTGCCGATGCTCGATAAATTCCTGGTGCTTCACTACACACCCTGTGCCTTCAACCTCTGATTAAGACTAAAGCCTCTTCCCTCCCCTGCAAGCGAGGCTGCAGTTAAAGGTAACGAGCGGCCTGGCCGTGAGGGCAGGAGAACACACGCCCCAACAAGGCACTGCTCGGCGCCGAGCCGTCAGCGCATCATCTGCTCAGGATTTACAGCCGGCCCATTTTACAACGGCTCCATTACCAGTTATTAAGGAACGGAGTAGCTTCTCCTGCGCGTTCGTTAAATATTAATAGAACATTTATAAACCGATCCTTAATTTAAAGTGTTACCTTTAATCAAAGCCCTGGTGATAACAACACAGCCTTTGGTAGAGCCCCTCCGGTAGCATTTAAGCTTCTCACATGGAAAGCTCGGCGCGCCTGTGGGCAGGCTGCTGCACTGGGCCCCGCGCCGGCCGGAGCAGCCGATGCTGGCGGCGCTGAGCAGGCCCCCCCCCGAGCGCTGCCCGGTCAGCTGCCCCGACCCCCAGGCTCTGCGGACCAGCCACTGCACCCGTGCCTGGCCCCAGGAGACCAAGTCCCCTTGCCCGGCGGGCACTAACCTGTCTTGCTGTCCACCGTGAAGTGCTGCTCGCCGTCCAGCACGCTGTACACCACCCTGGCACTGCTGCCATACGTGGGGTCATCGGCGTCCGAGGCCATCACCTGCATCACAGACGTACCTGGGCCGGGGAGACAAAGCAGCGGGATGAGCGTGAGCAAGCTGGGCCGAGGGACACGGGCTGCAGGACCGTGCACAGCGCTGACAGCTAGCAGGGACAGCACCCCTTCCTCAGGGGAGTAGGATGGGATGGATGCTGCTGTCTTGGGAGGAGCTGCTGGGAGGGCATCGCTCGAGCCTCGGTGTCTGTGGGGCTGGGGACAGGACACGCTGCCCTGGGGAGGGGAGCATCTGCCTGGGGAGGGGCTGGGAGGTCTGCACGGTGCCCAGGGGCAGGGACATCACAGCCCGGCTGCCCCTTCAGGTACTACCAAAGGGCAGTCTCCCCTGGAGATAAGCCCCCCGTGCGTGGCTACATGGGGGTGGCCGAGCCCGGGGCGGTCACGGCAGCACCAAGCTCCCTCTGCCGCAGCTTGCACAGAGGCTGGGGGCCATTGCAGACGCCCCCCCTCCCCGAGGCCTAGACACAGCAGCACGTCCTCATGCTCCACACGTAGCAGGGCAGGAGCAGTATAAATTGGATAAAAGTCCATCAAACGGCTGCAATTAAGTTATTGATTTTCAACGCTGCCTCATTAAACAGGGTGCTTCGCACCGACTGTCCCTGTGATGGCTCTAATTTGACATCATGTTCAATTTGACAAAGGCAGGACCCTGGACGTGAGCTGGGGCGGGGATGGAGGAGGCAGAGCCAGGCAGGGGCTGGGGGAGGCGGGAGGAGCAGCCGATTCCCCTGCACCAGGAAGATGGCACAGCCATACCACGAGGCCACGCAGCAGCGTCGGACTGCCGACAGACCCTCCCCACCGACGCCAGGCACCACGGTGGCAGCGCCAGCCCGCACGGCAGGCTGGGGCCCAGCTCAGGATGGGACGTGCTGATCACGGGAGGCATTCGCCTTCGGGCAGCGCCCGGGGCCGAGGAGCTCACTGCCTCGGGCTACAAAGCTCAGACCAGGCTGGGCCACGAGAGCAGGCACTGCGGGGGGCCCTGCACACCCGCCAGCTGGAGTGGCCTGTTTCGGCTCTGCTGCGTGCCCGCGGCTCCCTGCCAGGCCTATCCAGAGCCGGAGGCAAGGCTAGCTCGCTGCCTGGCGTCGGTGGGGAGGGTCTGTCGGCTGGCACTGGGCTGCCCCTTGCCCTCCCCCTCCACTCCACCTGGCCCCCAGCCACTGCCCGACATGAGCCTGGCACCTGCAACGCGCTCCCCACCCCCTGCTCAAGGCGAGGGCTCAGGAGCACTGCTGCTCCGTGCGTGACAGACAGGCCTGGATCATAAAGGAGGAATCTCCCCGTTTGGACATGGCGGGTGCTGGAGGGCAACGGGCAGCAAACCCGACGGAAGAAGTGCGGCACAGCCGCGAGACCTGGAACGGTTGCCAAACAACCAGGCCGATGCTCCCAGGGTCCCCAGCTCTGTGCCCTTCTCCGCCCCTTGCGCCCACGCCTGGTGCGCAGCCACCGAGGGCCCCCAGGCCAGGGGCAGCATCAACCCCCATTGCAGGTCTGGGGACAGAGACAGCCCCTGCCGCTGGTGGGGAGTATGCAGCGCAGAGGACCGGGCTCCTGGCCCCACCCCGGCCAGACCCCCACCGCAGTGCCGGGAGGAGGACCCAGGAGTCCTGGCTCCCGTCCCTCACTGCCGGCATCAGGCCCCCCGCCCGGAGGCAGGCGAGCCCGCAGCGAGGACAGCGTGTACCTTCCTTCGTTGACTGAGTTTCCTGGCATCTGCCTTCGCCATAAAAGATACAATAAATAAAACCCAAACATCCATCACCTGCAGCAGCGCGGGCCCCACAACCAGGAATCCTGCGCTCGCGTCCGCAGAGATAATTAGCCACGTAAAATGAGCTCAGGGCGTGAGCCCCTCCCTCGCCGCTGGCCCCATCTACATAACGGTTAATGGCTCAGGCACAACCTCCCTGACTCTCTCTGGCTGCAAGGGTGAGACGTGCTGTGGCCGATGGAGCAGGAGCTGCCCTGCCCCTGCGGAGCCTGGACGGATGGATCGGACCACGCACAGCCTGAGCCGGCTCCGCCGGGGTTCACCCCACTCCTGCAAGACCCCTGAGCGTGAGCAGGGGTCCAAGCAGCCCTCGGCCCCGGCAGGGATGCTCAGGAGGGGCAGCGCGGGCTGCAGGAGGGAGAGGATTCAGCCCCTGACGTGGCTGATTCCTGCTCCGGGTGGTGGGCGCCAGACCCCTGCTCAGCACCCAGGGGTGGGGAAAGATCCTGGGGGGGGTAAGCAGCATGCCCCCCCAAAGGATCCCCCCACCACCACCACTGCTGCAGAGCCGGCAAGGCCGCGGGTCAGCTCCATGCCTGCTTCCGGCCGCGCGCACCCCTCAGCGGCTGCAGCAGATCCGCAGTGGCCCTGGCTGAACTACCCCACCCCGGAGCAGCACAGAGGGGGTCCTGGGGCCCAGGGGCAAGAAGCCAACCAGGCCCTGCCCCACGGCCGAGTCCTGCAGCCCCCTCAGCCCAGGCCCACGTGCACACCAGCTGCTTCGCTCAGTGCATTAGACAGTCTGAGCCCCCGTCCCCGGGGACTGCTTAGCCGCGGCTCCGACAGAGGATCTGGTTGATGGGAAGCCTCTGCCTTTGCACAGCGCTTGTCCGGAGACATTAGCGAGCTCCTCTCCTGCCCGCCAGGGAACGCGGCGTGGAGAGCGGGGCTGTGTGGGACCGGTGGCATGGGGCAGGCCTCCACTTCTGCCCCGCTGTGCTGCAAGCACGGCCCCTCGCTCGGCGCTGCTGGGGTCCAGCACAGGGTCCCTGCCAGCAGCAGTGCCCACTGCCCCGGTAGGCACCTGCTACACCAGGGCCACGCTGGAGAAGGGGCTGAGAGGCCGACCCTTGGTGCCCCAGGGCAGGGCTGAGCACCAGTCGGGGCCCAGCCCAGCCCAGCCCAGCTGCCAGGAGCGGCTCCCGCTCTGCGAGGTGCTGGCATGGAGAGGAGACGCTGTCTAGGCCACCTGCCCCAGCTACCACGCATCGTCCCCTCCTGCCCCGCGCCTCAGGGCATCTCAGCACAGGCTGCTGCACAGCCCCTGCCCCTGCCCCTGCCCCGAGGGGCCACAGCAGGGCCTGCGCTGCCCCAGGGCTCGGCCCCACCTCCCTGCCACTCACCTGGGGAAAATTCCCTCTCGGTGCCCCTGGGACCTTGTTATCCACGCTGCTCTGGGCCTGCTGCGCCCGCTCCAGCCGTGCTCAGCTATGATGCACGTCGCCAGGCAAACGCAGCCTGCTCGGATGTGGGGGGAAAAGGGGCCTAGGCGCCCGCCTACCCCATCCCTGCCTGGGGCGCTCTCCTCCAGGCAGCAACAGGCTGGGGAAACCCTCTCTGGCCTCCTGCACGCCAGGGCTGGGTGCCCCGGAGCACGTCCATGCTGCCGTTGGGAAGGGAACCCGAGCCGAGCTGTGCCTGGTCCCGGCAGGGAGCCGTGACTTTGTGCAAGCACTGGCACCGACAGCACCCATCAACCAGGGGCAAACAGGCAGGAACCTGCCCGGCTGCAGCTGGGCCTGGAAAAACACGGGGCTAATGAAACCTGGCAGGGACGGCCAAGCCCTCGCTGATACACGGTGGGATGAGGACTTCTGCTAGGCCCAGCGGCATCCTGGGCAGCGCAGCCCGCGGGCAGGCAGAGCCCGGCACAGCCAGCGCCGGGGGTGGGAAACTTGCACCAGTGCAGCAGGGAGCCACAGGGTCCAGCCCTGGACTCTGCTCAGGACGGCCGCAGCGTGCAGCGGGTCCTGGAGCTGCAGCCACACCGTGACCCCGGAGCCGGGCTGGCATTAGCCCACCAGCGCTGCGGACGGCTGACACGTGGGTCCCCGGCCCCGGCTGCCTCCAGCCTTGGCTCGCATTTCAAGCGCTTGGTATTAAAAATTAAAACCCACCTGTCGGATTGCCTGTAAACGCTCTGATTACACATTAAACAAATCCCTTTCCTCTGCTTCCAGTGGGGAGATTAAGTGATCCCTCCCGGCAATCAGTGCTGGTGCTGAGTCGGGGCTTGACCCCGTGCTTTCTTTCTGTGCCACCAAATTGCCTCTAGTCTGGACTGCCGAGCCTCACTGCGCTGGGGCAGGGGAGCTGCGGGCCCTGCTGATGGCGCATGCCTTGCACCCTGGGCCCCGGAGCCGCCCTGCAGCCCCCGCGCCAGGACCGGGCCCCTGCGCGCCGGCCTCGCACCAGACGGCAGCATGGGCAGGGCTCGGGCCTGGCCTGGGAGCCGCTGGCAGCTGCTCGCACCCCAGGGAGCCGGGGAACGGTGCTGTGATGCAAAGGATTTGAGAGCCTGCTGTCAGGAGGGGAAGTGCCTGCGGCTCCCGGGTGCTCGGCCAGCCGCCCGCGGTCTGTCCTGATGCCTCCGTACAAGCCCGTCTCCCCCCTGGGCCCGCCCTGCCTGGCTCCGGCCCCGGCTCTGGCTCCACCAGCCTTACCTGGGACCAGAGCAGCCCTCCGCTCTCCGGAGGCCCTGGCGGGACACCTGCCGCAGGACGTCCCGGCCAGGACCAGGGGCAGGATCGGATCCGGTTCTGGCCCCAGGCGCGGGTCTGAGCCCCACTCAGCTCCGCTCCGCTCCGGCAGCAACGCCACGAGCGACAGTGCTCCAGCCTGCACCATCGACCTGCCCCCCCATCGAGACGGGCGCAGGGTGCCAGGGCAGCCTCGGAGCCGCAGCAGCCCCAGGGGGTCCAGGGCCTGCCCAGCCCTCCGCCTCGGTCCCCGCCCCGCGGACACGGGCAGGGAAGCCCCAGCTCTCCCGGGCTCAGCCCAGCACATGCCTGCCTCTGCGGGCCCCAGGGCAGGAGGAGAAGGGCTGCATGTGGCCAAGGCTCCCAGCTCCTCTCTGGCACTCTCCTCTTGCTCCCTGCTGGTTTGAATTTCCTAATAGATCCTGGGAACGTGGATGCCTTTCCCCCCCCGTTAGTCCTCCTTCGTTATGCAAACACTGGCCTTTGATCTGCTCCCTTTACTTTAGTCTCCTCTGTGTCCAGGACAGGCCGTTTGTGGCCTGGGCGTGGAGCTGGGCTGGGTGCGGAGCTGGCAAAGCAGCGAGCTCCCACCAGGATGACCCTCCCCATGCTCAGCACCACTGTGCAATGCAGCCCTGCGGGCACAGACAGCGCCCAGCAGCTCCACGCCGTCCCGCGGACGACCCTGCCATGACGGGACCTCCAAGCAAGCAGCTCGCAGGCACCGAGTGGGTGCGGGCGCCCATAGGTCTGGGGGCAGCGCTGGCTCCCAGGCCTGGGCTCGTTCCTGGCTCGTTGGTGCTGCTCCGAACACTTCTCCCCACTTTCAAGTTCTGAGCACTTTAATTTGCAGGAATCGCCTGCTTTCATGTTGCGGCACCACGCGTCTCCCTGCCTCTGATCTCCGATTTTGCACAGACACGTCTCCTTTGATACGTCTTGCTCGCATCAGCCTCTGATCAGGCAGCTCCATAATTGTGAGTGATTTTCAAAGCAGCCGGAGCCGCGTCTGGAGCATGGAGTCGCCAGTCCCCTCCCTTCCTAAAAGTTGTTCAAGCAAAATAAATTAATCTAATTCCTCACAGCCCTTCAGGAGCAGGACGGCTCTGGTGCTGCTGTGGGTGCCAGCGCCCCGGCTGGCGGCACGGCCACGGATGGGGAGAGGCCTCGTTGTGGGGCGCCAGGCAGCTCGGGGTGCCAGGAAGTTCCCAGAGCAGCTCCCCTGGTCTGATGACTCCTGTGAAGATGCCAGAGGCTGTTGCGCAGCTCCTTGACAAGCCAGCTAACGAACAGGCTGCATTTGCTATATCCAGAAAGAGCCCCGCATGCCATCCTGCATGGGGCTGAGACTGCGCTGCCCCCACCGGCTGCGTGCCCCTGCCCGTGCTGCCCCTGCGGGCGCTCACGATGCCACGGCCCAGACCCCTTTTCTAGCATGCATGAGCCTCTGCCCATGGCAGACCTGCAGAGAGCGGCGCTGGCCCCTCTGCCGCCGGGGCAGGGCCGCCAGCAGCCCCCTGCCCTCTGGCATCAGCGAGGCTCAGGGACGCTGCCTCCTTGCAGGGCCTCTGGGCCTTCCCAGCTCCACCGCTCCACCGGCTGCAGCTCCTCCCGCACTTCCGCGCACCTGTCACTCTTCCCCCTTTCATCCGCTGCCGACTCCCGGAGGGACCTGCCTTATCGTTTGATGTCAGTCAGTCTTTTGCAGGCTCTGTCTTGTGCCTTGATGCAGCCTTTGGAGAGCACTGATTTACAGCTCCCGGCTGCAGCGCCAGTGCATGCGCTCCACCTGCTCGCCCCACACTGGCGGCTACCTCGGTGAGCACGGGGTGCCTGGCCCGGACAGGGAGCCGCATGGCACCCCAAGCAGGAGCCCGAGGGGTCAGACAGCAAGAAACCACGGCTGGATCCGGGGGCCTCCAGCTGTGCTGGGTAACGAGGCAGAACATCTCACAGCCCCAGGCAGGGAACGAGGGCAGCCACGTGCAGCACCCATCAGCTGGGGGCCCCCCAGGCCACGGGTGCTTCTGCACTGGGACTGGAGATGGAAGGTGACTTGGGCGCTAGCTGAAGCCTGTGGACAGGGAACACAGCTGCACCCCTTGCTTAGCCCTGGAGACACGTAGGCATCATGGAAGGATTGCCCGCACCCAGACAACCATCACTTCTGTGCCACAGAGCCAAGGCCAGGGGGCAGGAATGGGATGGGTTTGTGCATCAGACAAGACAGATGTGCATGAGGTGGACAGAAGGGAGGGCGATCCAGGGCCGTGCCACCCCAGCAGCGATGGCCTGCTCCAGTGCATGTCGCAGGGGCTGCAGAGGGGGTGGCACGGGGAGCCCAGGGCTGGAAGAGCACGACCACAGTGCACAAGAGAACTTGCACGTGTGAGCACCGTGTGTGGCCAGGCCACTCTGCTGGCTCGGGGCAACAGGCTGGGGTCAGCCCTCCACCCCCAGGCACCCACAGGAAGCCGGGAGGGCTGCAAAGTGCAGGGCAGGGACACCAGGCACAGGAAACAACCAGCAACTCTGCCCACCCTGGCTCTGCTCTCAGCCCCCAGGCGAGGGGTGGTGGGAGGACACCCCAGCTCAGCACCTGGCCCGCTCCACAGTCAGCTGCTTGCCAAGGTGAGAAAGGCCGTGAGGAGCCAGCGTGCTGGGGCTGCACAGGCTGGGAGAGCCCAGCCCAGGATGGACGGGTGCTCGGCAGATGCCGGCGGCACATGCAGATGGGCAGAGATGAGCCGGGGAGCGCAGGCACTTGCCAGACATATGCGGCTGGGGCAGAGCGAGACACTGTCCCCGCAGCTGCCACTGTCTCCTCCATGCGCCACGGGCAAGGGCCCAGGGCCTGCTCCTGCAAGCCTGCCCCGAGACCCGCGCAGCGCTGCTGGAGCAGAGCCAGCATCCGGCGCAGCCGTCCCCCGTGCCAGGCCGCCAAGCTGAGCTGCGCGCCGGGCCCCAGCCAGCGCTCAGCACGGAGGATTTATTTACTTGTTTTCCTGACGACGCCTTATTTATTCTCCCTTCCTGGCTCCCCCTAGCTCCGGTCGCGGCTGGAATCCCCAGGATTTACGGCCGGCCATGGCGCCGTACCCGAGACACGCAGCGCAGCAGCGGGGACATACCTATGGGCGACAGCTCGGCCACGCTGCCGATGTAGGGCCCCTCCAGGAAGCGGGGCTCGCTGTCATTGATGTCCTGCACCTTGATGATGAACTCGGACTCGGGCTCCAGCAGCTGGTCGGTTTGGCGGTCCCGGGCCTGAGCCCGCAGCGTGTAAAACGTCTTCTGCTCCCGGTCCAGACGCTCGGTAGCATGGATGTCGCCCGTGACCTCGTCGATGAGGAAGATGGTGCCTGCGCCTTCCCCGGAGATTGTGTACTTGATGGAGCCGTCCCCCTCGTCTGAGTCCGAGTGGATCTGCCAAGGGAGGAGCGGAGGGAGAGGGTTAGCGCAGGCCCGAGCCCCACTTGCTGCTCCCACCCAGGAGCCCCTGGCTGCACAGAGCCAGAGGCAAGGGCAGTGCCACGCAGAGAGCAGTGCCCAGGCTTAGGCACAACCTCCCGCTCTGGCCCGGTGCCACACCGACGCGACGTGCCGCACGCACCCAGCCCCTGCCCATCCTCACGCAGGCCAGCCGGGCTCGGGCACACAAACACCACCCTAGAGAGGGTCGAACCCAGTCCCTGCCACCGACTTGCTGCGCAGCCTCCGCCCAGCCACCAAACAAGTCACGCAGATCAGCCCACGTGGCTCAAGCTGGACGAGCACCAAGAGCGCAATACGACAGGTACCGGGGGATGGAGATGGGGCGCAGCACCAGTCCCCTCAGGCCCCTTTGTGCTGCACCAGACCCCCACCAGCTCGCTGCCCCTGGGCCCGCTACACCAGGGCGCAGGCGCTGTCTCTCTCTGCCGGCACCGCTCCAGCTCTCGCCTGCTTCGTGGGCAGCCTGTGCTGCCGGAGCCGCTCTGCCCTCCACCCGGGAGCTCGTAAACACGCCGCACGTCAAGCACAGACTACCCGGCCTGGCTGCGGCCGGCAAGAAACGGAGCAGCTTGCCCGGCGTTCAGAGCGAAAAACAGCCCCTGGGGAAGCTGCTTTTGTGGCCAACGATTTCCTCTTCATTTTCTAATTAAGACAATATTTGAAACAAGGGAGGGAAAGGGTAAACAGCAGCTCCCCGCAGAACTGGCGCTGCCTGGAATCCAGGCCAGGCGGCCGGAGATAATTTTATTGGTGGCATTAAACTGAGTTATGAGGTTTTTACAATCCAGCCACTTATGAGAAATCTATTAACAGTAACTGGACAGGCAGAATGCATCTCTACGGAGAGCAGCGTGGGCATTAATTGGGACCATCCATAACGGGACAGGCCCCCGGAAAGGTTTCATCAGACGCCTTCATTTACTCCCTACAATTTCTGCTGAGAATCAGCAAAGTTGCCAAAAAAAAAAGAGCCGTCCATTAATCGGCTAATGAAATATGAAAATGTTTATGGGCCATTCAATCTTCCAAACTGCAGTTCTATAATCCACCTTTCAGACACACAGCTCCACCAGCAAGAATTTATACCAGAGCTGCCTCTTTTTACGACGCCTTCATTATATTTGTCTTGTTAGATACAGTTTATATATTTATTTATTTCATGAGTGAGGTGCCCACACATTAGACAATTCAGTGCCTTTTACACATCATCTGTATATTACCGCTCGCTTCAAAATACTTGCCCAGTGCCAGGAGGTGCATCCGCCTGCCTGCCATCACCTAGGAAATGCAACCGCCCACCAGAAACAACCCCTGCCTGCCCGTGACTGCGCAGAGAGGACACCCTGAGCCCTTTTCTAGCACAGCCTAAGTCCCGTCACTCAGGGGCGGCCCTGCACCCTGGGCATCCCCCCCACCGCTGCAGCAGCACGGCCCCTTGGTCCTATCGCCTCTGGGCGGCCAGCGCAGGGGCTGGTCCACGTCCCCACTGATGCCACCAGCCAGCTCAGGCTCAATCACGGGCACAGGAGGCCCTGCCTGCCCGGCCAGGAGCCGGCCACAGCCATCAGCACATCCCTGTCACGAGGGCCACCACCCCGGAGCAGCCACCAGCAAACCCACAAACCAGAGCTGGGAAGGGAAGCAGAGCCTGCACCCCAGGGGCTCGGAGACTGATTTGTCAGGGAAAATCAAATGCTCAATCTGCAGCGTCTGGCCCCACTGCTCCTGATGTGGAGGGTGGGGAGCCGCAGGGCACCAGGCCAGGGCACGCCCAGGCATGTGCTGTGCTAGGAAGGGGTGCTGGCGTTGGTGCCTGGGCCCAGGGTGCAGGCAGGTGCCCTGGGCAGACAGATGGCGCGGCCAACAGGCTGGCGCAGGGGGAGGCACAGAGCACCCACAGCCGGACTGCAGAAATGCCACGAGCCACGAGCCCTGCACCACGATCCCTGCGCCCCATTGCACACGCTCCCCGGATTGCTCCTGCCTTGCACAGTTGCTGGAGGGACTCGGCAGAGCACCGGAGGGGTGGACGGCACCGGCACAGGGCACGTCTGCCTCTGGCTGTGCCACTGCCTCCTGCCCACCTCCGCTCTCGCCCCCCTTGCACCCGGGACACCCAGGGCTGCGTGCCCAGGAGATGGGCAGGATCCAGGGCCAGTATCAGCCCCTCTACCGAGGGACCAGGCAGACACGTCTGGGCAACGTCATGCAAGGGCCCCTGGCAAGCAGACAAGAACCTTTCACCGGTTCCGTCTGTTAAAGAGGGAAATTGTTTCCCTGCCCAAAAGGGCTAAAAACAGGGATTTTACGAGGCCATTAATTACTTCCTACTAATTAAATCAAAATTAAATGTGAACAGAGGTGCATTTTCCTTATGAAAAGCGATTAAGCAGAAAGCACAGATACACAAATAAAACATGACGCTGGGACTGAGGAAGAAAGAAAATCAAATAAAAACTGGCCCATAATGAAGGCGCACTCTCTGTTTGCTCCAACTCATAAAGCCCGAGTTCATCAATTTTCTTTAAATATTAGCAACTTAATTAAATCTGCTTTTTTCCCTTTAATCCCCATCTCTATCTAAAATAGATCTGTCCACATGCAGAAGTTTGGAGCTAGTGCTGACCCCATAATTCTATTTAAAAAACCCAAAGAAATCCACATCAAACTGACAGCGGCCTCAGGGGAAATTACAGTTCAGAAAAAGGATTAGCCAAAGAGCCCAGATTGTATGGAAATGTTATTGGACCTCCAAAGAGCCCCGGCAGCGGCGGAAGGGGCACCGCAGGGCTGTGCCTTCCCGGCAGGGGGTGCCAGCGGGACCGGAGCAAGTGCCTCGGCCACAGGAAAGCTCCCAGCTGAGCCGCTCCACAAGGTGTGGGGCCAAGGCACTGCCCACGAGAAGCTCGCAGCCCTCCAGGGTGCGGCAGGGGCAATGCAGGCGCCTGCGGCAGGGGGTTCCCGGCCACCCCAGCCCGGGCTCTCCCTGGAGGGGCGCAGAGGGGAATGGGCAGGAGAGGTTCCCAGTGATTACAGCCCCAGCCTGGAGCAGGGGGAGAGCAGGCTGCCCCTGGCCCCCAGCCCCTCCTGCACAGGCACCGCAGCGTGGGGGCAGGAGGCCTGTCTGTGGGGCGCTGATCCAGGCGTCCCCTGCCCAGGGCTCCCCCAGCAGGAGCTGCGGCATGCCCCACAGGGGTGACAGCCATGCCGTGCCAGCTGCGCCCACCTCTCGGAGCAGTGCTGACCAGGAGCGGCTGCGCGCGGCTCGGCTGTTTGCTCTGGGCTGGCAGGCGACACGGCGAGCGATGTGGAAAGGGGCTGTAAAATGGGTTAGTTTAGGTTCCCGGGTTCATTTTGGAAATGAGGCTGTTGCTAGGCTACCTCTGGAATTTGACAAGGCCTGATGCTTCGAGTCACTCCCCGGGGGAGCTGTGAATTAACTGTAACTGCAGCGAGCGCTGCCGTGGAGGAGCACGGCTCTGCCGGCGGCTGCGGTGGTTTCTCGCCAGCCTTGGCCCCGCCACGCGTCCCTGAGCAAGCAGGCACACGGCCCCGGCCTCCTCCGCAAGGGGGGCGGCAAGGCTGTAGCCTCCGCGCTGGGCCTGGCTGAGCCCCCACGGGGGCTCGGGACATCGGTGTGGCCAGAACGAGCCCGCGTGCCCGCAGGGCCCACGCCATCCCCACTGCCACGGGCTTCAGGACGGGCTGCCCACAGCCTTCGGGCCAGCGGTCCCGCTGAACGGCTGAGAGCCGTCCCCAGCACATGGCTGTGCTTCGGGCACCTCCCCGCTGGCCGGCCCCAGCCCTTCCCCAGCCCCGGGCAGCCCGGCGGGGCAGGCAGGCACCCCCGTCACTTTACCTTCCCCACGTACAGCGGCTCCGTGCCCGTGTACTCCTCGACCACGAAGAACTGGTTCCACACCCAGCCACGCTTCACGCGGCCGCCCACCAGCAGCACGTTGTCCCCCACGGGCTCCAGGCCAGGGCTCGCTGCGTCCGCGTGCACGGCCAGGGCCCTCGGCCGCTCCAGGGCACAGAGCAGAAGCGACAGGGTCCACGAGAAGCCCAAGAGCCCCATCCCCTGGGCAGCAGCATGGAGTGGGGCTGGCAGACAGGACGCCGGCATCCTCTGGGTGCCACCACGGTGGGTCTCGCCAGCCCGCAGAGGGTCTCTGTGCCCACCGGAACCCTGCTGCGGCAGCCAGACCCCTCGCGACCCCGGCGGGCCAGGAGTCACATGTCGGCCCTCAGGGCCCCGCTGCGGACAGCGACGAGCAGTCCCGGGCCAGCCCCGCGCAGGCTCCGTGCCCGGAGACAGAAGGTGTTAGCGGCTGCCCGTGGCACTGGATCTGCCGGGCAGGCTGCTGGCAGCAGCCGTGCTGCCTCGGGGGCTGGAGTCCGGACGCCGGCTGGGCCCCCTCTCCACTCCCCACGCACGAGGTCCCTCAGCACGCAGCGGCAGGGGCACGGCCGTCTGCCAGGACCCGAGGCATCTGCGCCGGGAGCTCGCAGGAAGGTGGGGCGAGCATCTCGGCACAAAGTCCCGTGAGGGAGGCGCTGGCCGTGGCGGCACGGGAGCCCCTGGATCCAGGAGCAGGCCCAGTGCACGCACTGCACTCAGCGTGAGGGCGTTTGTAATTCTCGTTTTTGCGGCTGTTGTTCTCCTGGCTCCGGCGAAGGCTCCTTGGCCCACAGGCTGCCAGTCACCTCCATCCTCTGCCGGGTCATGCGAGCGAGTGCAAGGCAGCCAGCAGCATCTCCGGGAGCCTGAAAAGGGCCAAGATGTTAGCGATGGTGCAGGAACAGGGCCCGCATTCCCCCATGGGGCAACAGGCCCTGTGGGGCTGCCACCCCCGGGCCATGAATGGGAGCCCAGTGTGGCGGGTGCAGAGATCCCACCTCAGGAACACAGCTGGGTATTCGTATCCCTCCGCTGTTTCCACCACGTGAGGCGGGCCAGTAGGGGGTGCTCCTG